GCTTTTTTTCATGAACCCGCGTCCGCTGCGGATGGATTTTCATATCTCGGGTGATTAGAATAAGATCTCATCGCGGTGCGCCGCTGTCCAATATGTACTTCTCCCGAGCCAAAAGGTCCGAGTGAGTTAAAAATTCCCTTTGCTCTCTCTTGCCAGCAGGTCTATCATGAGAGCAAAAAGTTGTGTAACTCAATATTATTATTCGCCTGTCCGGCAGACAGACGGGCGGCGGTCGCGAGCGCGTTTTTTGCTCCAACTTGACACCAAAGGTGCACACATGGACGCGCAAACACGGCTTGGTGCTGAGAAAAATATATCAGAAAGTTCTGTGTGCCGCTGTTTTTTGTGTGTGCAAAAAGTCTTTGTCACGTTTACCTGCTTCAAAAAATGGCATATTTACGCTTGAAGGTGTGCAAAGCTTTCTTTTTGCACTTCAAAGGCGACGTTAAAACTAGGAGTAAATACGTTAATAGATGTAATAGATGTTTATGCTGTACTGTGATCGCTACACTCTGTGTTGTATTGGGGGGGGGGGGGGGTCAGCCAATTTATCCTCTTTACAAAATTTGCAAGAGATTTTTTGTATAAAATGTTTGAACAGATAGAATGTTTATTATGGATCCAAAAATAAAAAATAAAAAATAAAAGTTATAAAATCTGAATAAAATTAAAAAAAAAATTTATTCAAGGCCAACTTCTTTCGTAAACAATATTCCTTCATTATACTATCATAAACAAATTAACAATACTTTACTATTTAAATCTTGCTGCAATTTCTAAAGAAAAACCTCATGAGGACTGCTTGTGGTTTCAAAAAAATCTTATATTGTAAGTAAATTATCTTAATATTTTTTGTTGAACACTGAAACGGCAATATTTGATAATTCACTCCTTTCTTTTGTCTCTCAAAACTTCTTGTATACAATAAATTTTTTTCTTTTCTTATGTCAATCATCAATCAATACTTCTAATTTTTTTTCTCAGTCAAATAAATATGCAAAATTACTCCTATATAATAAAACAGGACTTCTCTTATTTTTTATCTTTTCATAATTAGATTTTGGCATAAAGCTTCGGGACTTAAGTGTTGATTAGTTGACTGCTTTATCAATGTATTTTGTCAGGGACGTGAGCGGCTCTGATTATCGGGGTTGATTATTTGCTTCCACAAACATGCCCACCCCTCTTGATATACTTTCGCAGACACGTCCTGTCGTATTTATTTCGCCCGATCAAAACACAATCGGTTCTCGGACCGCGCGTGGCCGTGAAATAATGCAACACGAGTTTTGTTGTTTTAATGGCCGGTGAGTGCACGTTATCGGTCCAAATACACGCGGCCGGTGTTTGCGTTTTGCGGTGCATGGGAAAGGCAAACAACAAAGAGATGAGAGATCGGCGGCGGCGCCCGTCGGTCCACACACCAGACCGAGCAAATTGAAATAAAGGGTTGAGGTTTGATTGATAATTTATAGCTGCAGCCGGAGTTGTAACATCATTAATCGTGCAGTTGTGATTTATTGTGGGGCTCGTCAAACCAGCCGGCTTCAATTGAGGCCACGCATTTGAATATATTTTGAAAAAGCTGCTCTCGCCACGACCGCCGGATAAAAATATGTGAAAAGCGTCGAGTGTCATTACGTACAAGCTTTTGCTTTTAGAATGGCGCAATAATTGTTGTACACGTTTTTATTTTTTCGAATAACATATTTATATTCCGCCGTTGGTAATTCAGCACACTTTTAAAACAGATTTTTGTTTGTTTATTATTGAAAGGAATTTTTATAAATTCAGGCCACGCCGATAATGTATAAAGAAATATTTGTCTGAGAGATAAATCTGCTAAAAGCGATTTAATTGACTTTTAAGAGGCGGAAATTACAAAATTGGCCCGCCGCTGTTGATATCAGCTGACATCATCTGATCACAATTTATACGACTCTCAAAGTCGGCATGTGTTTGAGTTGTGTGCGGCCAATTAGTAGCGATCGTGCCCTAATCTCATTTGTCACTCGCACCTTCCCTATTTTCTCAATTTTTCGTCCAGCTGCCGCAGAGACAATGAGAGAAAATTATGCAATTTAAAATGCGACGATTTTACACTAACGAGCCAGCAGAGTGGTAATTTATGCTCCGAACATGTGCGCGCACGATTTGGAAATTCTCTCTTGTCATTCGACGATGAAATAATGCGAAACAATTAGTAGCGAAATTTTTTGAAAAATGAGCTCCTCGTCGTCCATCTGGTGCGACTCTGGAGGAGATAATTTTCTTTCTTTCGTTTTTTTTGCCCCTCGCATTAAATCCATCTCTGCAACTCACGCGTAATCTCGTCCCGAACTGGTTTCGACGATTTGCAAAAACTTTAAATACGGCCAAAAAATTATTTCCAGGCAGATGTTCAAAACCGGCGCATGTAATAAAAAGCACGAGGCGTTCAACAAAAGACAGAAATCCGTGAGTTAACTGCGGTCTTACTAAAAGTACCTTAAATTGCAATTAATTCGACCGCAGCAAAAAACAAGCTTACAATTAGTTATAAGACGCTTACCGGGAAGTTCTCTTTTATTGCATTATTCTGCGAACCACAAAAAACCGAGATATTGTATATGGTTGATGGAAAAATATTTCTTCTTTGTGCGTCTCTGTCAAAGAAAAAATTGCGTTATTTCAAATCTGCCGCAAAACCACCGTCGGGCATGTCTTGCGAATAAGATTTTTTTATTTTTGATCAAACAAAGAAACAATTGTCTCTCTCCAGATTGGAAAATCTCTTTTAGGCCGAGGAATTTATTTATTTCTACATCATCTGCCTGCCAAACACAGAATTTATATATATACATGAAAAAAATACTCTCATTTCCCAATGCCGCACAACTTTTTAAACTGATTGTTTTGACATCCGGGTTATCGATTTTGGCAGAAAGTATCGAGGGAGTTGCGGCGGCCGCCAATATGCGAGGCGGAGAGAGCCGCAAAAAATTATTCCCTCTGAGTAAGTGCAAAAAAAAGAAACGGCTTTGCCTCTCTGCAATGTGTGTGTGTGCGGTGATCGAGAATTATGTATCCGCACGCGTTTTTATATTTTGACGCGCGTCAACAGATTTGTACAAAAGCGGCGAACGCGCGATATTTTCAATACAAAAGCAAGTCTGTGGTTACATGTACTGACGGAAAGCTCCGTCTTTCTCTCTCGCCAAAATTTTTTGTCCTGCTGCTGAGCATTTGCCTCTTTGTTGTCTCCCAGTGCTCTACTTCTTCATCGCTCTTTCAATGTTTCAAACTTGCAAAAGATCTTTGACAAGAATGCTGGACTTTGATAGCACAGAAAGCGCAGACGAGACGTACGACAAAGACAAACACATAATCCGTGGTTTTCAAGACTGCTCTGGTTTTAGAAATTTTTCTAGAAATTTTAAAAACGATTAAGTACACACTAAACCAAGACATTTATAAATTTAAATTCTTTATTTTAATTAATAGATTAATTAAACATTCAAGACAGATTAGTTATTTGTATTCAGGGGACAAAGAAGTTTAAAAAATATTGAATTCGGCAAGCGTCAGAGTTCAATAATTCATTTTCCATTTTTATATTGAAATTCTCAAAATAGTCTCTACATTGATATATAAACACTTAAGTAAGCCTGATTAGTTAGCACAAATGTTAACTCTCTGCAATACAAACATAGATTATCACAACCTATAAATTGTGATAATCTATCGCCATGCTTGTTGGCGCTTCATTCGAACAGCCTTGCAGTGATTTAAATATTGGAGGACTCGAGAGCGAAGGAGCACTTGAAATAGACAAGATCTGACTCTTGATGTGGGTTGACTAGATAAAAACAAAGCGAGCAGAGAGTGAACTAGAAAAAGAATGTCTCATCATGTGCGTGGCCAATAACAATAATCACATCTCCAGGCAGCACACTCGGCTAAAAGCGATATGGAAAAAAAAGAAATGAATGAGAGAGTGGAGCCGCGGTCGACTTCAAAGCGTGTCAACATCGCGACTCGTCTCAGCTGAAAGTCTAATATAACGACCAAAATCACTCTGGCGCCAAATATGTGGCGCATCTCCCGCAATCATCTGACGAAATTGTATTACTTGCATGTCGATTCACGTGCAATTACCCTTTGAATACACAAACCCCTCTATTAATGTGTACCTTATATATCACAGAAGGCAGAGGGATTTACTGAATACATGGCATTGCGGAATTTAATTATTTGTGGTATTGCAACGTGAAACGTGACAAATTGATCAAATATGTAGTGAAATTAAATCAAATCTAGAATCAAACAAAAACATTTCATCCCACTCTGGTATTTAAAGCAAAAATTGTGGTAAATATGTACAATGTAACCAACGTAACATTGTACAAGAAAAAAATTAAATAATTAATGAAATTAGAAACCTCTGATATAATCAAATATTGCATAAACTGGCCCTCGGGAGAAAATTTTTCTTATAAAGGAGTTAATTTTTATTAATAAATTATAGACTATGGTAATCCTATCATGTATATAGTTGGTAAAAATATATATGCAGATTTACACAGTGAAAAGAAATTATCCTAATTGTAAGAGTAGCAATGGTTAAATCAAAATAAAAATGGAAAAAATAAATTTAATGTGATTATATTTAAATATTGTATTAAAAGTTGTGAAATTTATCTATATTTATTGAGACAAAAATATTTCTACAAAATACCGTGTAAAAAAATTGTATAATAATGTGGATTAATTTTATATTATAATAAATAAATAATGCTATTCATGATGCTTAAATTATTTTTTGAATATTCCAACTTCCTGCATAACATATTTTCCTAAAATTAATGTTCAATAACGACTTTGTGCCTAAAGAAGATCAAAATAAATCTTATTTTCCCAATTTCAAATTTACGGGAGAAATTTTTAAAATTCATTTTTCTTATTTCTTATATGTAGTCATTTGATATATAATTAATTATAAATCACATGTGTGTACTTACTTGTGGGCAAACAGCTTCCCAAAGTACTGTGCCAATTCGCCGGTGTGCTGTCCAAATTCGATGCAAAACGGGAAGCAGGGGTCGGGAAGTCGAAGGGTTCGTCACGGGTCCGGTTAGAGGAGCACCAAGCAACCACTCGGACGCACTGGCACAGAGGACGACGCACTAGATGCGGAGAACGAACGGCGCGAACACGACCTCGCCACTCGGCAGTGAGCGAGAGACTGATTCTGATTCTTATTCTCTCCTCTCACAAATCAACGCCGCAGCGAAAAAACAGCTGGCCCAGGGCGCTCTCTGCTCTGCTCGCTCTCCCGCCGCTTGCATTGCATAGGGAGAGCGTGCTGAGTGAGTATTTTGCATATATTCAAGTACACGTAATCACTCCTATTCCGTGTTAATTAATCAGCTCCAATTCTTCACCAAAATGTTAATATATGAGATAGAAATTTTATAAAATTAACAATCTATTTAAAATATTAAAAAACCTGAACAAACAATGTGCCCAAAATTGGATCAATTGCAATCAGAATTCAGAAATGAAAATAAAAATTCAGGCGAATGTGTACTTCTATAATTGTTTATCCCTCATCTGGACAGGCATCAAGGGTCAGACTGCTAAATTGCAATGGCCGATGAAACAGTGGACCTTGGACCCCCTGCGCTGGGTTGAAAGGAGAATAGGATGAGTTTGGTTTTGGTTGTTAGGAATTTGAAGAGCGGTTGAGGCCTATGAATCTGGATTTTTTTTAATTTTTTTTTTTTTTTATAATATGAAAGTTAGTGTTATTTGATTTTGAAATTTTTTTATCTGACACTCAGCCAAACCTAAATCTAGACTTAATAATTTCAGATTTTTTTTTAGTGCAATTTTATTACTACGCTCCACTTAATTATAAAGCCAATTTCCACTCTGCCATTTATTCTTAATATCCAACTTGGTAAGCGAACGTTTATCAAACTACACTGCTCTCTTGTATAATGATGCAGACAGCAAGCGTAAAATTTATTTTGGTGCTTGTCACGAAGTGGAGCAAAATCAGATCCATCACTTCTCGGACTGCCGTTCGCAGACAGACATCCTGCTGACAGCGACTTTATTCTCGGCGTCCAATCACCTATGCATGCGCCTGTGCTTTTTTATGCTTCCATAGAAATCCATTTGGCGAAACGATTGGACACTACTTACCGTCACACAATCGGTCCGCGGCCATTCATCATGATATTGCTCCCGCTTCGAATAAAAAATAAACATATATTTCGTTAGCCATCAGCATATATATTCAATTTTTTCATCCGGCTCCTTTTTCACCTTGTCATCTCGGCCAACATGTCAACAAGTTGCTTGCGCATGGACACGAGCTGTACATTTACCTTTTGTGCTTCTCCTGCACAGCATTATCTCTTCTGCTTTTCATTCCTGGCTGAGACGTTTCGGATTTTATCAGCGCCGGACAGCATTTACATACTTTGTTTGGATAACACCATTACCTCCTGCCAGCTAAATTTTTCTTTGTATACACTTTTCAATGGTCACTCTGAAGAAAGAAAGCTCTCAACCGGAGCTCTGCGTTATTGCAATGAATATAATATGAGAGATTATGATCTTAAATCAAGCCTAAAGGCCAAAACCTCGCTATCTAAGGGCTTAAAGATTTTAACTTTCAGATATTTTTCACTAAACATTGCTCAATTCAGATTGATTATTAATACATAAATTTATATTAAATCTAAAATAAATATTATGATTAAAACGAATAAACCGTAAGATAATTTACTTTCATGCCAGATGTAATATTGCAAAAAGCTGTATATGAATTTGTTTAAAGTTCAAATAATTAAAAAAAAAAATCAATATTTAAAGACTTTTAGATAAAACTTGTAGATAAAAAAAATGTAATTACCAATTACAGTTTTTATGGAACTCTTTTTGAAAAACTTTAAGTGATCACAAAATAATGTCTTTTAAGGTAAAGATAAAGATGTAATGATAAAAAATATAAATAAACTTCCAAAAAATTGTGACTCTCATTATTTAAATATTTAAACTTATTATGATTATATTTCTAAAAATGTAAAATTTACTCTGATAAGTTTGATAATTATGCTTACTTTTAGAGTTCATTAAGACCATTTTATGAACTTGCAAGACAAGATGCTAATTTGCCTGAATTCAAAAATTACTTAAGTCCCAAGCAAAACTGAAGTTTGTAAAACCTGGATTGTCTTTTCTGTGGAGCGAAATGCTATGAAAAGGAACGAAAAGGAATACCTTGGTGGCGAAACGGCAAAACACGCGGCGGAGCAACCAGGCAATTATACCTAAAACTTCTTCTCATACTTTAAAATCTCTCATAATACAAAGCAATTACCCGTCCAGCGCGCAAGCGAGTAGGTTCTTGATGTACTTACTCAGCCTGTTTCTCCCGTTCGCCCTCCGAGTTAAAGCTCTGTCCTAATTGCCTCCCTCTAATTTATTCAGATTTAATTGCCGAGATTAGTGCAAAATGGAGTATAATTGATGTCTCTCCGCATTGCCAATATTGCTGCCAAACCACTAATTTTCAAGAAGTTTTCTGATCCTTGAAGAAATTCATAGTCTTAAATTTATTAAACAGAAATAATGGCAAAAATTTTTTATTAAAAAGATTCATTTTTCAACTCTACTTGTGCCTATATCATTTAAAAATAAATATTTCAACACTGTTTATTGGAAAAAAATTGGCTGTTAGCAAATTCCTCAAATTGAATAAAAAAAAATTACAATTTTTTTAATTTTAAATCAAAGTTTTGAACGAACTAAAGCCTCTGTTCTGAATCAATTAAACTGTTTAAATATATCATATGACACGGAAAAACTAAATTCTCAATTATTTAAGCTGCAAAAAAGTTTTTCTACAATATTTTTATGAGTGAAGGTTATTAAGAAACGTGCGAAAAATTCATTTTTACAAATAAAGAACTATTAAGTTATTTTGTAAAAAATATATTCTTTCTTGGTCATTCCATTTTAAAAGTTTATTATCTACTCTGCTAATTCCAACAAAAAATTTACAATTTTTTGACGTGTTTGAGATATTTGATACTATTTGATACTAAAAATGATACGTTTTTTAAAACGTTTATTTCTTTACATAATTTTTGTAAGTTCAGGCCAAAGGAGAGAACAAAAAAATCAGTAATAAAACTTATAAATACCGAAAGGTTTACAACAAGGTCCGCGCATCAGCAGCAATGAAAAATGATTTGATTGTTGTTTGAGCTCTCTGATTGGGTACAAGTAAAATTGTACCCAATCAGAGAGCTCGACAACAATCAAAATTTTCTGACGAGCGGACCTTGGTTTACAAAAAGAAACTCGCAACATTGCTTTTTCACAGTATAAATAAAGCTATTCTCACTGCCGCGCACTCGAAGTGAGAAAAACACAAGAGCGAATGTGGGGGAAATGAGCAAATATTAATATCGACCTGTGCGCGGATTTATATTTCATTTTTGCGAGCGGAGTTGAGGACTGTGTGGCGCATTTTTGCGAGTGCTCGTTGCTTCGTCGGAATTATTGTTGGCAGAATAGCAGAGAGTGGAGTGAGAGAGCAGCGCGCGTTTTTATTCTCATTTAATTTATTACGCCGCCTCGTGTCAGATTGAATTATAATGAGGTGTGTTTTATGCCAAACACACACACACATGCAAATACACTTCGCATTCCTGAAAGTGTTTTTGTGGCGCGTAATTATAAAAAAAAATGATACAAAAAAGAGGAATAAAAAAACGAGGAAAAACACTATGGAACGTGAGTTTGCAAAGCGTAAAAAAATAATGAAAGGGAGTTTTACGTGAAGCAGAAGTAAAAAAATGCCCCAAAAATTTTAAGTATCTTAAATCACATTTAACAGGTTGATTTAAAATTTAATAAATAAAGAAAATGAAAAGATTTTAGTCATAAATTTTTGATACAAACTCGAACTTAAAATGTTTAAAGGGTTTGAGATAAGTTTAAGTAATTTTGGGAATATTGCAAACGGGGGTGTCTGAAGACTGATGCCATCCATCAAGGCGGAAAATGCATTTCGGAGGCACGCAGCGCATAATAAACAAAACGCTCAAAGGGGATGTTGGCTGGCTGGGCGCGCGCTTCTCTGTGTGTAATGTGTATTTTCTGATCTGCTCTTCTTTATGAGGCACATGTGCTGGCCTAATATTTAAAAGGGGATATTCTCTTGGCTGATCTACGTGCACTCTGAAAACTGCCGCGGTAATATTGCCTAGAATAAGCCTGCATGCGTTTCGGGCCAACCACAATAAACCAATATGAAAAAATTATTTCATCTGCTGGTAGTTTTACGATTCACTTAAATTTTAATTCTATTATAACTTGATCAGAATTAAATTATATTTTTGTTACTTGTTAGATAAATTGACCAATTTTCTATTTTTTTTCAAGGTGTCAATACTGTCAATTAAAACTCGGCTTAACCTTGGTAAGTTGTTTGAGCTCTTCATTGATCTGTGAGTAGAAAAAAAAATATGCTGCATAACAAAAGATAACTAAAAAAAACTCATCAAGTAAACGCCATATTTCTATTTTGACACCCTTTCTATGATTCAATCCTAAATGGTAAAATCCTTGTAAAAGAATTTATTCTAATTTTTTAGATAGTATTCTGCACTAAAATGTTTTTTTTTTATAACTAATATGTTATTAAAGTTTCTCTTAGAATTGATATATATTATTAATAATTGAGGCACACATTAACAGAAGTTAAAACAATAATTTAATAAGAAAGAAAAAAAAATCAAATTGCCTCTTCAGGGGTCGAAAAGGGTTTTCCTATGACTATGTTATGCAACCCTTGGAATATTATGCATCGTCGTCGCCTCGCTTCTTCGTCTCTCTTGGAAATGCAGCGAGCCGAAAGCGGTGGGCCTGATGGTTAATATTTACTCCGCCGACCAACACACACGCACTCGTAAAGTACACACAGACAGAAGGAAGAGGGAAGCTGCTGGACCACAAACACGAAATTTACCGCTTTTTCAGCGCTCTGGAATTTCGGGAGCGCGCATATTATTTTATTACATGGCGAGATGGTGCATGGGAAAACAAAAAGTATGGTGTCACAAGTAGAGCAATAATTCCTCAAGTGGGCAAGTTTTTTTGTTGACTGGTGTCAAAAGTTTAGTGGAAACTTGAACCCTTAAAATGCACTTTC